CCCTTCCAATCAACATTAGATCATTTAGGAGGTAAGCCATTTCAACCCTGCCTCTCCGGGTCAACTCAGACGGAATAATAATTTCCCCAGCAGAAAGACACGAGACACTTGATAAAAATTCTCCCAACAAGCGAAACAAATTAAGGGATGCAGGTCCAAACAACAGGGGTTATGGATCCTCACTATATCAATGGTGGATATGTCTGACCTGTTAATACTGTTTGTCAACCACATTTTAGACTTTCTAGCAAACACAAAGTACACATAAAACGTTACACATTTCCTGCACAAAGGAAAGTCATGAGCGTCAACTCCCCTTGGCCAGATGTTGATAGGGAACAGAGGAGCACGGTGACGGCCAAGAAGAGATAAGCATATGCCAGTTCCCTGTGGCGTCTTCAACAAAGACAGGACCAAGGGCACCAAACAAAGACAAGGAAAAGCAGATCTACTTTATCAACGGACAGAGCTGTACACGTAAACACACTATAATTTGTTTGTCGCAATGTAAAAATCTGTCCTCTAAACACAAAATATATTGTTTTACGATCAACCCTGAACATGTACACATATATAAAATGTATTTCATTTGTAATATGAGGAGGTTCAATGTTTAAATACATGTATCCCCATTAAATGAATATTCTTGTTAAATAAGGTCTATATAAACATAAAATGTTTTTTTCTTTTCAGAAAGTCGTCTATTATGATGCATGATAGAAAGTCTTACAAACACAAGATTCATCATGCACTAAAGTAACATCTATAATAGGCTTTCAAGCAACAATCCATCCATGTGCTATAATTTTTGCAACAAATTTTTTTAACAACTGTTTAACAGCACTCGCAACTGCATAAAGTCATATGAGAATGTGGGACACATTTTTAAACAATTTCAGTTTGGTGGGAGAACTAATTTTGAATTTTGCCTGGGTGGTGGCCAAAGCCTACTCTCATTGATTTTGGACCACAAAGGGATTGTTAACGTGCACAACTTGCACATGGAACCTCCGAGATTTTTGGCCCTTTTCCGAGAAGGCTAAATGTTAGATCTTACCTATCCTAATATTAGAGATGCGGCTGAAAGACGGCAGTAAGAAGGAGCCAAGGAGTAGCAGAGGAAAGGCTGCAGAAAGAAGGAGCCAAGGCGTAGCAGTGGAAAGGCTGCAGAAAGAGTCAGGAGCCCAGAGGAAAGGGCAAAGGGAGTGAGGGGGTGGGGGCAGAAATTGGAGACAAAAGCAGACGACAGAACATGGTTAGAGAGCAGCAAAGGGGGTGAAAAGAGACAATTTTCCATCGCTGTCAGGTTTCAAACCCAAGACCTATTGCATGAGAAGCAAACACCTCTTGACCACGAGAGCCCCAGGAGCTATAAAACTGTCCATATAGGATAGGTCTGGGCGCAACAAGCAACAGTGGGAGGAAAATAGACATAGAACGTTAACATATAAAAAATAGCCATGAGGGTGTCCAGACACGCGGGGACGAAGACCTATGAAAATGTCCAGAACAAAAGAGCCTTTGCAGGCCCAGTTAACCCAACAAACATAGAAAGTCCACCATGCCCACTACTCTCAGGAAACATAACAGTGAAAGTAAATGAACAAACTGGTACTAAGCCCCTGTCTCCCTTTCATATCATAGTACGAGACTCCTGCCCCCACCTTTTTCTTAAAATCACACAAAAGGTGTAGACCCCTTTACCTCCCCACGGTTACACCACTGCCACTTACATAACATCTGCACAAGACTGCTTTATCTCCCTGCGGTAACACATACATATGTACCAGAAGGAAACATTCGAAGAGTTCGGTGGAAAGTTACACCAAGGCTTTATCTCCCCATGGCTACTTCTGCACAAGCCAGAAACATGTTGAAGTTCAGAGGAAAAGTAAATTTACATAAGCGTCATTTATCACATTTTAATCAGACCAAAGTATCTTTTCTCCTGATTTGGCTAAATTATGGTGATAAGCCTCAATTTTGTAGAAATATGTAAGACGTTTTAAAGCATCAAAGTAGTCAAAGTAGAGTAGTGATTTTTAATCCATCAGCCAATAGAAATTTAGAACGTTGTTCACTGTGATCATAGAGTGGTCGCAAAATGGTTGACATGGAGGAGCTTGTTAATGACAACAAAGGGAAGAACATTTTCTCAATCTGTGGACATGGATATGAAATAAGACTGCCTGCAATAATTAAACCTAGGACAGAACTTACTGAACTCTATCAGATCATGAAATTGAGGAATGCCAATCTTTCAAAGAAAACAAACACCTCTCAAGACCATCAACAAAATTGATTTTATTTTTATGAGTCAGCCATAAACTCAATAAAAACGCAAGAGTGTGCTGCTAATTCATTCAATTATGAAATTCTTTAGCGGGTAATTAAAACAACAGAATAAGATGTAGATAAAAATGAAAGTGTCTTAAAAGTTCATGAGCTATGAGTATGAGCTGCCGATAGCTGATATATATAGCCTACAGTGGTTACTTTTTTTAAAAAAGTGTTTTGCAGCGCTCGCAACTGCATAAGGTCATATGAGCATGCGGGACACACCAAACATTTTCAGTTGGTAGGAAATTTTGAATTTTGCCCGGGTGGCGGCCGAAGCCTACTCTTAATTTTAGAAGACCACCAAGGGACCTTTAATATGCGCAACTTGCACACGGTCCGAGATTTTTCGCCCTTGTTCAAGAAGGATAAGTGTAGATCTATCCTATCAGAAGATCAGAGGTGTGGCTGAAAGACGGCAGTAAGAAGGAGCAGAGGAATAGCAGTAGAAAGAGTCAGAAGCCCAGAGGAAAGGGCAAAGGGAGTGAGGGGGTGGGGGCAGAAAGTGGAGACGAAAGTAGACAACAGAACATTGCTAAGAAAGGAGTGAAAGGAGACAATTTTAGAGAACAAACTTGGGATTCGAACTTGGGACCTTTGAATGAGAGGCGAACACCTTAACCTCTAGGCCATGTGAGCCCCCAACCTACATTGTAGTGCACACTTTGATTACTAAAAAAAGGAAAAGATTAATTGGTTTAAAACACCAAAGTGTTTCAAAGACAACTAATCTTAAAATTGGGCCTCCAGCCAAGTAATTATAACAGTATAACCCTGCACTGAACCATGTTGAGAGATTTAGAGCAATAAAGTGCCTCACCACATTTTACCAGAAAAATTTTACTAATAAAATCATTACCTTGCATTATTTTCTTAACTAAAAAAAAGAGTGTATGGGTTTATACCCCTACCAACACTATTTGGTTATTTAAGACGTTATTTGTTTTTTGTTTTAGTAAGGGTTTTAAGGCACTTGCAATAAAATTATGTCATTTAACTAAAAAGGCCGAAGATTAGAGACCTGTATTACATGAGAGTAACAAACATAAAAAAGGAGGAGAGATAAGGACGATAGGTGCTTGATAGGAAAGAAGGAGCAAACCACACCAGAGCACCCGCCAACCACCCACCTTTTAAGAGGTGAGACCTTCTAATTAAACGTTCCGACTGCGATAGGAAAAAGCCAAACCGTTTGAGAACCTTGAAAACTCCAAAAAACAACCCCCAAGTTCGAGAACGTCTGGGATTAACCAGGGCCATCCGCTCTGTAGCCCAACATGATACCAATGGAGCTAACAGAGCCCCCCAGTTTTTTCCTGTCTTTATCTATGAGGTTTTTGCCAATATAATGTAGAGAATAAATTATTGTTAAGGGAAATTCATATGGAAGTCTTCAATATAAGACAAAATTCTTAGAACACTCAACTCAACTGACATCGAGGCATTCTATACAGGGTCGTTCATTTAGACAGCTTTTCACATCAACCCATCAAATTTGATTTTGACACTAGAGTTTACCTGATCTTTGTTCTTCACAAAGTAACAGCCACTTGTACCCTTGGCACTCAGTTTAGGTTCAATCCCTGCATCAATGGCCACCTCTCCCTCCCGCACAATGGCCCCAAACTGAGGGTCATGGGAAAAGCTGTTGTAGCTGATTGGTCCACTTATGGACTCATAGTCCTCAATGTTCCGTGAATTCTGCGCCGACACTGAGCTCCGCTTTCCGCTGACAGCATTATCCGGATCCTTCTCAACAATTGTGGTTTTGTCCCCGTTAGCCTCTGCCATGGTTCCACTTATGCAGTGAGCACATATCGCAAGCAATTTTTTCCACACAACAAATAAAGTTCCGTGTGATTCAGCCTCACAGGTTGAAAATGTCACCAGCAACTGAGTCACAAGACAACACAAAACGAAACTTGCCTTGAAACAGTGATCCTGCACGAAATTTCTCCCACGCGACTTAATCCCTCAATGCTTACAGCACAATACCATAAAACGAAGTTCAATTTAATTTCAACCTTCAACAATCACACTCTTGGCAATTTGTACTGAAGTCCACTGGACCTTCATATAATATCAACATCCCATCAGATAAGTAAAATTGGTAAGAGACTACTCCAGGCCCTTGCAGAATCATTCAGAGGCTGCACGAAAGAGAAAACACATCAGCTGGACACTCACAGACAATAACTGCAATTCTCTGCGACTTGCTTCAAACTCACCCTACTCTCCTTCTCATTATATTCTTTATAATTACCATTTACGTTTAAACTTTACTGTATTCTTCTTCTCTAACTATTCTCTCTATCATCTATAGCCTACATAAATTACTCACTATTTCTCAGAACTTGTGTTCAAACTCACCCAATTCTTTTTTCTATTTCTAATACATAGATTCTAATTCAAAACCATAAAAAGCTTAAAACAACGGTATACCAAAATAAAAATGTTGACAAATCTCTCTCTGGGGACTGGTGGTGCGACTCGAGGCGGGTCAAGCGCAAAGATGGCGGTTTATTTATTGCCGCTATAAATGATGATGGACGTTTCTTGGGTCACCATCAGAGCCACTTAACTGTTGGCCTTAATTTTGGAATTCTAAAGAAACACTGCCTAAATTGTTATCATGAAACATTATCAACAGAGGAAACATTCTGACAAAAATAATATAGATCCTACATGTTTTATCAAGAGTTTGGAGATTTAGAATCTAGATCTAGACTACATTTAAATCTAGATAGGCCTATCTAATCTAGATTTATTAGATCTAGATCTAGATATCTAGATGCACTCACGAAGTTGAAAAGCGAGGCTAGCCATTACTTATACAGTCAAAGTCAAAGTACAAAATTAGACCTGTAAATGACGTTTGCCTTATCAAGAAACTAAAACAAACAGCAGATTCCCCAAACTACGACTGTAGGCTAGGCTAACTGTAACTAATCTCGATCTTGATCTAGAATCTAGATCAAGAAATACACACATCATAACATACACACAGGCGGCAATGAAAGTATATTAGATCTATCTATAACCACCAAAAAAAATGCCGGTTGCCAGCAGAGCAATAGGCCTACAGTACACAGCAGGAACTGTCCCAGAGTTAACGGAGCACAGATGACATGTTCAGTTCAGCGATCAGCGACACTCCATCGGTACAGAGAGTAACACAGGCTTGCGGGCAAACAGCAGACGCACCTGTGTCTTGCGACAGCTGGTGTCAACTCAACTCCCAAGGCCTGCGCTACATCTAGACCGACACCCGAACGTACTCCACACCCTCCTAGAGCGGGACACACCACGGGGACTGGGGACACACAGCGCGGGAGGGACACACAAGCGACACGGGAGTACACCCAAGAACGGACCGACCGAGCAGAGCCCTAGCTACACTACTAAAACTACACACTCGCTGACTCAGTCACGAGGTGGGGCGAGGCGCACAAGACCAACTTGGTGCTATAAATATCGACAGATCTATGACTATTATTTTGTTTCTGTGTGCACACGCGCGCGCATCATGTATGTGTGCGCGCGCGCGCGTGTGGTGCGTGAGAGAGAGAGAGAGAGAGAGAGAGAGAGAGAGAGAGAGAGAGAGAGTAAGACGTACGTGTGTGTGTGTGTGTGTGTGTGAGCGCACTCGCTAGTGCGTGTTCTAACCTAACAGCTGTCGTGATGCCATTTTCGCAGACACGTCAACAAACGTCGCGCCAATGACAGTGAAAGCAAACTATATCGCTCCGGTGTGAGTGATTCAAATAATAAAACAACGAGTCTCCATCAACATTTTCACACCCGAGGGAAAGATCTGCGCCTACATTGCATCACTCGACAACTGTACGTTGTTGTTAATTTTGTAAATGTCCGTTCTCATCACAAACACAGGCACAGTTTCCAAGTCACAGGACGATGACGTTGATTACAAGTACAAGATCACATCGAAACGCACGAAAGAGTCCTTCTTTGATAGCCTAGCGTAATTCCATGGAGAACTGGCGACAGGTCAGATGTCAGCTTACGGTGTCCGGGTAACACAAAGCACGCACACACCGCTAGTCGCGAACACAAGCGCCAAGCCGACACCGCAAGACCGCGGTTATTCCACAACATATTGGCCATTAACCTGCCCCTTGAAACGGAATTTTTGTTCCTCAAACAATGTTTAGGCCTACGATTCGCAAGGCTGGCTTAGATACTTTGCACTCAGGTCACGAGGCCGTAGTTATTCATCAAGATTGACAAGTAAACATATCGACGATTTTCGTAATAATATACAACATACAACGGTCGCACCGCCCCTACCCCCTCCTGCTTCTACAAGGCATAGTCCTCATGGGCTGAACTAGAAATTGATTTTTGTCCAACAAAGCACAAAAAACGGAACCTTTTGATTATCTTATTTAGAAAAACTAGTACTGAGAAACGTGTCTTGACAAAATCAAAACCAGCATTACTATTTAATTTTTAAAATCCAAACAAAAACAAAAGCACTCAGCATTTTCAGAAGTCAAAGGTAGGCCAATGGGACATAATCACGAAAAGATATCGGGTAAACTTGGTATGAATTGTTTCCCTTCTTTTCCCAAAACCCGCCTTCCAGTCTATGGAGTCAGGGCAATCAAAGAGGCATGTTTGGCAGCCTCTACCTGGTGTCCTTACTACAGTCACTCATTCTTTAATATATTTATTGCTCCTATTCTGCGCAGATGCTGATTAAATCACTCTCTGGTTAAATTGTGAGAAACCACATTGAGATTGTAAACTATGGAATATTTATGTGACATATTATTATTAATGTTATAATTATTATTATTACTATTATAATTATTATCATCATCTGTAAAACATCCATTCTCATCACAAAACAGTTTCCAAGCCACAGTTATAATATAAATATTTTTTGCGCTGTAGAGGTATATTTGCTTTATAGCGTTGTTGCGCTTGACATGGTCCCATGTTACTCAAGCTGAGTGTACACAATTTGCATAATATTTCAATTAGAAACCAAAGTTCTAGCATTCTAATAAACTAAAACAAATACTTCCAGAGCACCTGATCAGCAAGTTTTCACATTTTAAAAATATATTTTGGGAGGTCACAAGTTCTTTTGCCAATCCTTGGCTGACATTATTTTATAAAATAACAAAGAGAAGGACCTAAAGTGAGTAAAAACACGATAGTCAGAGGAAAGATTGTCTGAGAAGAGTATGAGAAGGTCGAGATGCAAACCATCATTGCAATCCTCATTTCTTACTCCAAGAAAGCAGTTCTTAGACAATTCATTGGGCAGCAATATGTCAAAGGTCCATTAATCTTCTGAGTTTCAGTTTGGTACTGGTACTAAAATTAAGCTCTAACATTCATAACTGGTATGCAATACTGGAACCACCGTCAGTAAGTTTTGATAACATTCATCATTCAATAAGCACTATGAGCATACGGTAACAAAATAATGACAAACACAACCTGTGGTGATAAAGTTTTATATATATATATATATATATATATGTGTCTTTCTTTGTGTTTACTTTTCATCCTACAATGCAGGATTTGTTCTACTTACTCAAAATCACAGAAACCGGTATGAAACACAATATGCCCACTACTGCAGAAATGGTGGTAGGGTAAAAAGCTTTAAGAAAAAAACAAACAAAAAAACTTACGACTCAACTTGCTGGTGAGTAATTTGTTCACTGATATATCTGTTTATCCAATCACTAGGCCAAAAATAACAACAACAACAACAAATTTTAATGTGCTTTTTAATGTTCTATTAGACCAGGTCTTCAGTCTGAATTTCAAAGAGCGAAATATAGCTCAAACTGCAGATCTTAGTTACCCCAATTGTGAAATGTGTATCAACACTAACAATCACAGTGTTACAGACTTACAACAATATATCTAAGTAAAGTTAACAACAAGGCACTACATTCATCAAACACTTTTTTAAACAAGCTTACTTGGACTCAATGAAGTCGCTTGCAGACAGCCCCAACTGATGTGTCCTCTCA